GGTGTCGGGTGACATTTGGGTGGATATTCCTTCCTTTTCAACGTTGGACGCCACTGGGACAAAACCTACCACTAAATGAGAGACATCTCGCCCAAATCGTTCAGGATTTTGAGAATTTGAATTTTTATTTTTGTTGGCATTATTTTCCGGATGTTCATTCAGATTTGTAAGTGGATCCTCTTGTTTTGCGTTGGGCGCCATTCTGCCAATTTCTCTGAGTATATGAGAAATATCTCGCCCAACTCGTTCAAAATTGTGCATGCTTCCTTCAATAGGCTCTATTGGCGTATTTTGATTGATTATGACTTCCTGTTGCCCCTCGGGCGCCATGGTTGTAATACCTCCAAAAATTTGCAACACTTCCCTTGTTAGAATTTCATCAATTTCGACACTGGGCTGAGTACCGCCAGGAGGTGCGTCTGACATAGTAGTGCTCCCTGAATCCCATGCCTTGCTGGAAAAATTTTCTGGACTTTTGTTGGGCGCCATTGAGGCACTGCTGTGATGCAGTATGTGTGATACATCTCTGTTATTTCGTTGTTTATTTGGTGGCTCGGATTCTTTGGAGACAGCAGATTCCTCTGGGAGAGAAGAGACCATTGTTTTTTTGATAATATTTGACTGATCTACGTTGGGCGCCATTCCCAATATAAGTTCTTTATTTAACTCATGTTTCAGTTCAGATTCACTGAAATTAGCTGGTTCCTCTTCTGCTGCTGGGTTTATTACATCCTCCGGTTTCACGTTGGGCACCATTGTGCTAGTACTACCCACATCTCTGGTATAACGTTCCACATTTTGATAGTCTGTGGAACCTTCAGTGCGTGGTGCAAAGTAATCCTTATTTTCTGCAATTTTCCAGCCTTGAGATCCTATTATTTTCTGCTGCTGTGTTTCTCTGGCATTTGTGGTTCCCAAAACAACTAGAAATCCAAACAAAAAAAATTAATAAAAATTTAAAAAAATCCATTTTCAATCACCTGCAGCGCAACTTACCCAACAATACTAGAAATCCATTCATATTGTGATTTTCGGCAACAAATTTTACAAAAGACTGCAGTTCGCAGCCAGTAGGTCACAGGGTTTTATACCTGTGGATGCTCCAAAAAAAATCCTCTCATATCCTTGTTGTTACGAACTTGTTCGCTAGACTAGTTTGCCGGAGCTTCTTCATTTAATTGGCTGTTCCACAACCACCACCTCCGCCACATTTCAACTTTATTTTTGTATAACCTGTTCTGTATTGAGATTGCGTGCATTTATCTTCATCTGGATCGGTTGACCGGTTTCCGATGTTGATGAGCTTCTTACATAACACAGTTTATTATCGAACAAATTAAATTGTTTTTTTTTTGGGAAAAATTGCATTGTTTTGGTTTCCAGTTCGTGTACACAATGGCCAATGACACGGAGAGGTGCGACTGGAAGTATTTCAAGTGGCAAAACAATGTCAATGTCACACAACAGGATGGGGATAAGGAAGGGAAAACCTGTTAGTTTTTGGAGATGTATAGGGACAGCTTTTTTCTTTTTTTTTGGCAAAACTGGAGCGATTCAACGATGGTAGGAAGTTATGAACTTCGAGGGCAAAATATAGAGAAATTGAGACTCTATAGATGACTTATGTGAAATTTCCATTGGCAGTTGTAGGGAAGTCTATGGAACTTCTTTAAATTGCCTTAAATCGATAATAGAGGAGTATGGATATATAGAGGAGTGAAAAGGACTAATTCATATGACTGGAGTGGAGTTCATGTTGTCTAATATGGAATATCTAAAGAGGACCTATATAGAGTATCTGTGGAAATATGTCAACGATTGAGAACCCTTTAATGCCTATAAAAACGGTCTTTAGAAATAGACTAAGACCGGATTTGGCAAAGTTCCTTGGAGACATCAAATATAGTCTCTACAGGCTCGAAGTAAAACAAATAAAAAATCAGTAAGTTCGTCCGGGCCGAACTTTGATTCCCCTCCACAATCTGGAAGAATTTGGTTATTTTAAAAAAATAAAAAAATCCGTAAAATATTCTATTAAAATCCTAAAAATACCGAAAACGTGGACCTGCGAAGGCAATTTTTGTCATAAGCCATTACAATATTCAAATACGAAACTTGAATAAAATCCCGCTAAAATCATCAAAATACCGAATATAGGGAGGCACCGCTATAACGGGGCAATACGAAGACCTAGACCTGCATAGACAATTTTCTGTCACAGGCTGTATAACCTATTAGGAACTTTAAATACGAAATTTGAATCGATTCCGGTGAATATTGTTCCTAAAATCGTTAAAATACCGAATATAGGGAGATACTGATATATGGGACCTATACGAAGACCTGGAGCTGCTTAGACAATTTTCAGTCACAGGCTGTAGTACCTATTAGGAACTTCAAATACGAAATTTGAATCAATTCCGGTGAATATTCTACCTAAAATCGTTAAAATGACGAATATCGGGAGGTACTGATATATGGGGCCTATATCAATGCCTGCACCTGCATAGACAATTTTCTGTCACAGGCTGTAGTACCTATAAGGAACTTCAAATACGAAATCTCAAACAATTTCAGTGAATATTGTTCCTAAAAATGTTAAAATATTGGGATGTACTGATATATATGGCCTATACGAATACCCGGACCTGCATAGACAATTTTCTGTCACAGGCTATAGTACCTATTAGGAACTTCAAATACGAAATTTCAAACAATTTCGGTGAATATTGTTCCCAAAATTGTTAAAATACCGAACATAGGGAGGTATTGATATATGGGGCCTATACGAATACCTGGACCTGCATAGAAAATTTTCTGTCACAGGCCTATTAGGAACTTACGAAATTTCAAACAATTCCGGTGAATATTGTTCCTAAAATCTTAAAATATCGAATATAGGGAGGTACTGATATATGGGGATTATACTGCACCCGCATAAACAACTTTCTGTCACAGACTGTAGTATCTATTAGGAACTTCAAGTACGAAATTTTAATCAATTCCGGTGAATATTGTTCCTAAAATCGTTAAAATACCGAATATAAGGAGGTACTGATATATGGAGCCCATACGAATACCTGGACCTGCATCGACAATTTTCTGTCACAGGCTGTAGTACCTATTAGGAACTCTAAATACGAAATATGAAACATCTCTGGTAGATAATGTCGGTGAAATCATCAAAATACCGAATATTGGGAGGTACCGTTATATGGAGGCTATACGAAGTTGTGGGCCTGCATACGTCATTATTTGTCATAGGCTGTAGAACCCATTACGAATTCTAAATACGAAATTTGAAACAACTCCGGTGAATAATGTCGCTAAAATCATCAAAATACCGAATATCGGAGGGTACCGTTGTATGTGGGCTATACGTTATGTATGTGGATATACGATATCGTAGACTTATATAGGCAATACACTTCCAGGGGGTAAAGTATTCAGAAGGAACTCCTTTTGTGGATTTTCAAACAATTTCATTCACAAGTTTCGCTACAATCATCAAAATACCGAATATCGAGGTGTACCGTAATATGGGGGTAATACGATATCGTGGATCGATATAGTCCATCTTTGAAATTAACCTGCCTGCAGACAAAAGACTTATATGTGCAAAATTTTAGCTTCCATATTTATTTGTTTTTTGTCTGTGATGAATATACCCTCCATACTATGTACGGTGGAGGGTATAAAAACACTTTACAATTTTATACAAAATCTTGGAATGCTTGTAAACATTTTAAAATATCTTAGCTTATTCTGTAAGGAAAAAATACGAAGAGGACTCTCTTTAAAATAATTTTTTTTCTGAATGATTCTGGAGCACTTTTCATGATTTTTTCTAAAAAATTTGTTCCCTGGCTGAACGTTGAACGCTATTTCGGGAGATTTTAAATTTTATTGAAGAATTTGAGTATAAACTATATAACAGTTCTAAGATGACTGAGAAAAAAGTGAGCCCTTAATTGCAGTCTCTTTAAGGAAAAAGAAAAAAACTAACCTCTAAAGGCCTCCCTAAGTCTGTAAAAACCTTAACAGATCTTACAAGTCATATTGATTCTCCGAAGACCATAAAAACCCTAGTGGACATTGAGAAAATCTTTCTTGCCTCTAAAGGCCTTCTTCTTTCTGTAAAACCCCTTAGCAGATCTTACAAGTCCAATGGATCCTCCTACAATCCTAAACAAACCTAGCTGACATTCAGTAAATCTTTCCAGTTTTTTAAATAATGTATTGTTTGACTATATATTGGGCGCCATTTTGCACGATTTTCTATTTTTATGCATGAATTTCTCGTTAAACACTTTGCCATTAAATTGAGTACAAAAGAGCAACCAACCTACGATATATTCTATTAATAGAAATATTTTTTTTTTTGCTGATAATATCGTCTGTACGTTGGGCGCCATCCATCATTTCTCATTTCTTGTCACAACAGATATCTAAAATATTTATGAAATCCGATTGGTGACATATTAAAACTTACTTGTCCAAAAGCTGGAGTCACCATTTTGAAAGGAGTGGGCATGGTGCGCTCCCAAAGACGCCTACTTTTTGTTATTTCTTAAGAATGTAAGTTTTAGAGAAAATTACAATTATTTTTTGAAAACTATTACTATTTTCTTCGGGCACAACTTGTTTATCAAATTCAAACTTAAATGAAATAGAACTTTTTAGGCATGGAAAGCCGTGAAGTAATATTTTCATAGAAAAATAACTGAGAGTGTCCTTTTGTTCTGGTCATACATTCTTTTGTATATGTTACGACCTCTTAACACTTTTTTAAACATGTATTGAATTTATACGGCTGAAACCTGGTATTCTGATATTTTTCATAGTAAGGAGGCTACACCAAAATTTCTGTAGATTATATTTTCTTTACAGATTCCTCTTTTATATCCTGATCCCTATATATCCCGTAGTTTATAAAAAAAAACAATTTTTATTTTTTTATAAAAAATTTATTTTATTATTAAAAAATCCAACCAATTTTCTCTCTTAATCCGAATACAACAAGAATAAAAAACTCAACGATTAACTCAAAAATCCTCTCTTCTCTCACTCTTTCTCTCTCCGTCTCAAATCAAATCACTATCCTTGCATTGTTCCAACCAGTGCATTAGACAGCGATCATCTTTGGTGGCGGTGAATTTCTCCTTGGGATGTTTGCAGTTATAGCCGTCCATGATGCACTGATTGGGGAATTCATGGATGCAAATGCCGTTGGTGGCACAAATGGGTTCCAGCTCAAATTTGGTGCACAACAAATCGCAGGGATCTATTTTGGATCGCAGCAGTGGATGGACGGCCTTACCGGTAGTGATGCTTACTGACGTTTTTGCTGTCGTCACCTTAGCGTCCAGGGGCATAGCAGTGGTGGGGGGAACTTTGGTAGTCATCGACTTCATTGTTGATGTTAACATCACAGGTGTATTAGTCACAACTTCCCGCTTCAAACGTTCATCGGCAGTGGTCATATTTTTGTTGGACTTCCGGGTGTCTGTGGTAATGGGTGGTGGTAGGGTTGTAATATGCGGCACGGTTACTTCATCTTTTATATGTGGATGACTTAGGACTTCGGAAATCACCGTTTCCTTGGCAAAGAATTCCTCAGAGGAGTTTTCTTCGGATGATTCCTCAGATGTATCTTCCTCCGATGATGAGGAATCTGGAAAATTGCCTACATGATAAAAATCTGGATGCCATCCGTAGTCATGTTCCACATAATTGTCATGTATTTCCCAACCCTCACCGGGGGAGCGTTTTTCCATGTTATGATCATCATCGCCATGGTCCTTCTTGTCTCCGGAGTCGCCATGGTCACCTGAGTCCTTGTGGCCATCACCATCGCCACCATGACCATTATCATGACCTGAATCCTTATCATCATCTCCTACCGACCGCTTATGCCAATGGTGATCATCGTCCTTGCTATTCCAGCCTTCGTTATCCTTGTTACCCCATTGGTTGTTCCACGTGTCCTTGTGACCCCAGTTGCCATCATCATTGCCATGACCATCATCATGTCCTGAATCCTTATCATCATCCCCTATGGACCGCTTATGCCAATGATGATCATCGTCCTTGTTATTCCAGCCATCGCTATTTTTGTTACCCCATTGGTGGCCATCATCATGGTGGCTCCAATCGTTGCTATGCCCTGAATCCTTGTGACCCCAGTTGTTGTCCCAATCGGCTGATCTCTTCTTCATGTCATGATCATCTCCATGCATATCCTTGTCTCCAGAGTCGCCATGATCACCTGAGTCTATGTGGCCATCATCATTACCATGACCATCATCATGTCCTATATCCTTGTCATCATCTCCTACGGACCGCTTATGCCAATGATGATCATCTCCCTTGTTATTCCAGCCATCGCTATTTTTGTTACCCCATTGGTGGCCATCATCATGGTTGTTCCAATTGTTGCTATGCCACGTGTCCTTGTGATCCCAGTTGCCATGATCATCCCAATCGGCTGACCTCTTCTTCATGTCATGATCATCTCCATGGTTATCCTTGTCTCCGGAGTCGCCATGGTCACCTGAGTCCTTGTGGCCATCATCATGTCCTGAATCTTTATCATCATCTCCTATGGATCGCTTATGCCAATGGTGATCATCGCCCTTGTTATTCCAGCCATCGTTGTCCTTGTTACCCCATTGGTAGCCATCATCCTTGTGATTCCAGTCGTTGCTATGCCACGAATCCTTGTGACCCCAGTTGTTGTCCCAATCGGCTGATCTCTTCTTCATGTCATGATCATCTCCATGGTTATCCTTGTCTCCAGAGTCGCCATGGTGACCTGAGTCTTTGTGGCCATCATCATTTCCATGACCATCATCATGTCCTGAATCCTTGTCATCATCTCCTACGGACCGCTTATGCCAATGGTGATCATCGTCCTTGTTGTTCCAGCCATCGTTGTCCTTGTTGCCCCATTGGTGGCCATCATCATGGCTGTTCCAATCCTTGTGACCCCAGTTGCCATGATCATCCCAATTGGCAGATCTCTTCTTCATGTCATGATCATCTCCATGATTATCCTTGTCTCCGGAGTCACCATGGTCACCCGAGTCCTTATGGCCATCATCATGTCCTGAACCTTTATCATCATCTCCTACGGACCTCTTATGCCAATGGTGATCATCGCCCTTGTTATTCCAGCCATCGTTATCCTTGTTACCCCATTGGTGGCCATCATCATGGTTGTTCCAATTGTTGTTGTGCGACGAACCCATGTGATCCCAATCCGCAGATCTCTTCTTCATGTCATGATCATCTCCATGGTTATCCTTGTCTCCAGAGTCACCATGGTCACCTGAGTCCTTGTGGCCATCATCATTGCCATGTCCTGAATCCTTGTCATCATCTCCTACGGACCGTTTATGCCAATGGTGATCATCGTCCTTGTTATTCCAAGCATCATTATCCTTGTTGCCCCATTGGTGGCCATCATCATGGTTGTTCCAATTGTTGTTGTTCCACGAATCCTTGTGATCCCAGTTGCCATGATCATCCCAATCTGCAGACCTCTTCTTCATGTCATGATCATCTCCATGGTTATCCTTGTCTCCGGAATCCCCATGATCACCTGAGTCCTTATGGCCATCATCATTGCCATGACCATCATCATGTCCTGAATCCTTATCATCATCTCCTACGGACCGCTTATGCCAATGGTGATCATCGTCCTTGTTATTCCAGCCATTATTTTCATTGTTACCCCAATGGTGGCCATCATCATGGTTGTTCCAACTGTTGCTATGCCACGTGTCCTTGTGACCCCAGTTGCCATGGTCATCCCAATCGGCAGACCTCTTCTTCATGTCATGATCATCTCCATGGTTATCCTTGTCTCCAGAGTCCCCATGGTCACCTGAGTCCTTGTGACCATCATCATTGCCATGACCATCATCATGTCCTGAATCATTATCATCATCTCCTACGGACCGCTTATGCCAATGGTGATCATCGTCCTTGTTATTCCAGCCATCGTTATCCTTGTTACCCCATTGGTGGCCATCATCATGGTTGTTCCAATCGTTGCTATGCCACGACTCCTTGTGACCCCAGTTGCCATGATCATTCCAATCGCTGGATCTCTTATGCATCCCATGCTTATTGCCTTTGAGATTCCAATTGGCATTATGTCCTGCATCCTTTCCATTATCATTTTTATTATCCCAGTCATCATCGTCGCCCCAATGAACACCAGCCCAATGGTTGTCATCATCGATAGATCTTTGCTTGACAACATGATCTACAACCACTGTTGGCAAGGTTGGTGGGATAATGAATAGTCCTGGCTTGACAGTAACCTTGGCCGTTGGTTTTGTGGTGACCGGTAAAGGCAGTTTTGTTGGCATCACCACATCGACAACACTTGGCACTGGAGTTGTAACTGCCTGATCAACAACTTTGTTGTCCTTGGTGACCTCCATCACAACTGCTGGCACTTCCACATTATCCTTCTGGCCGGCCAACACATTGGCTGGCACCTGGGTACTGACGGTGTGAGTGACGTTTAAAGGCACTGTTGCTGCCTGTATGGCCAGCAAACCTAAGGAGACAAAAGAACAGGAGAATATATTTAAAATTGAGTTCCTGCTTTTCAGGAACCATCCACAACTTACCTGCCAAAAATATCACCAAAATATTCATGTTACTACTTCTCGGGTTGCAGTTGAACTGCTTGTATTCTCCACTTGTGTTCGGAAGTTTTTATATGATTTGGTTTTTTTCTTCTTCCTACTCTTGAAACCCCCAAAAACGAACAACTTTCTTTTTTCTTGCATCAGCTGCAGCCAGGAAAATTCTCCATTGAAGAACAATTGAAATCTAATTTTATCCTTGGCGATTCAGATCACCAAAAATACAAACATCTTGACGTCAGATCTTGTTGGAATATTTTTCCATACTACCTCTTCCACCTCCTTTGGAGCCATCCACCCATCCATCCCAACAATTGAAACACATCACCAAAATCTTGTTTTATTTCTAAAAATAAAAATTTATTTGCCATGTTTGTTCGTTCGTTCGCTAATTGCTAAATGCGTATTTACAATGTCAGTATTTTTTTTTTTTCATATTTAGAAGGTGTAACATACATACCTACACCCACTTACATACATGTGTATGTGTATGTGAGGTCATAAATTTGCTTGCTTTAATAAGTGCTTAATTTAATTAAATACAGTTTTTTATGGGGTTTGTTTGGTCACAGTTTGCTGCTTGAATGGTTAGTTTATTGCTAACGCCTAAAAGTATGCTTTGGGTTTTTGCCAACATAACAATGGCTGGCAACGTTTGTTTACAAAGGCCAAATTGCAAATAAATTACATTCGTTGTTTATTAAATTAAGAGTTTATTAATTTAATAATTATTATTTATCGTATATAAAATATTAATAATTTATTAAGGATATTTTATTTATTACATATAATCATTTAAATACATATTTTTTATTATTTTTTTACCATTATTTTGATTCATTTCTTCGATTGTCCTTCTGTTAACGCAAATTTTTTAGGATAAAGTGGTTTTTAAGATTTTTGAAATGAAAAAAAAAAATAGAAAACAAATAATTCAAAACCAAAATAAAAATAAAAAACTCTTGAAAAAGTGGTGTAGACACGCTGCCACATTTATTAAAAAGTGATAAAAAATTTGTGTTTTCAAGTCTTAAATGAGACATATTTCCACCTGCTGGCATTTTATTTAAAAATAAAAAATACCGTAATGCTTACATATTGAGAACTAAATTTGGAAACGAATTTAGGATATCTAGCGGCGTTCCACAAAAAATAATAAATTTTATTTTCGCATTTGATTTATGGGGCATTTAAAGATATGGGCCGAAACTATGAAGTTCAATAATTTTTGATTATTTTATCATCTGACTTACGCGTAATGCAATTATTTGGCCGCATATGAGCCAGGCTCCTAAAAAGTGGACTGTTAAATCCTGTCCTTTCACGGGATCTAATATTGATAGCAATAAGAGATGTGGGACTAATTTCAAATTTTATTTGAGTTTTGATTCCGAAAAATTGTAATCCTTTGATTCCTTTTTGCCGGTATCAAAATGAGAAATTTATATTTCCGAAAAATTGTAATCCTTTGGTTCCTTTTTGGCGGTATCAAAATGAGAAATTTATATGAGCTGATATTACAATTTTTAGCTACAATATACGTGAAATCGGATGAAGATATATATGGGAGCTATATCCAAATCTGAACCGTTTTCTATAAAATTTAGCAGAGGCATTTATATGCTGCATCTGATAGCTGAGGCCAAATTTCGCTGTTGTGAAGAGGATTTTACGGGTATAAGAGACATAAATACCAAATCGGATGAAACATATATATACGGGACCTATTGCTATATCTTAACCGATTTTTCACCGAATTTGATACACTTGCGTGCAGACTGAATTCGTTCGTATGTCCCAAAATACATTCAATTCGGACCTATATTAACCATTTGACCCGCAATAAACTTGAAATCGAGTAAAGATATATATGGAAACTATATCCAAATCTGAACCAATCTCGATAAAATTTGGTAAAGGTATTTCTGAGTGATATTTGAAATATTTTCCCGAATATCGTTGTTACGGAGTGCATATTACAACTGTGGAAAACATATATAACAAATCGGATGAACAATATATGTATATGGGAAGTATATCTGAACCGATTCTCTCCAATTTCAATAGGGTTCGTCCTTGGGCCAAACAAATGATTTGTGCAAAATTTCATCTGGATCGGGCAATAAATGCGACCTGTACTTTGTTTACAAAAATACACGGACAGACGGACAGACGGACGGACGGACATGCATAAATCGACTCACTGATTCTATGCAGATCATCAAAAGGAACTATGGGTCTATCTCGTTTCCTTCTGCCTGTTACAAACAAATGCACAAAGACATAATACTCTGACCACCTTGTGGTGTAGGGTATAAAAACTAGAAGACCAAATAAAAATAATCCACAGGAAAGATCAAAATTTTTCATTTTTTTTAATTAAGCCAAAACAAGTAAAAAAGCTGTAAGTTCGGCCGGGCCGAACTTTTAATACCCTCCACCATTTGGTGCAAATTTGGCAATTTCCAAAAAATAAAACCCGTTAAAAATTCTGTTAAAACAGAATCTAATCTAATTTACCCTCATCTTGTGGTGAAAGGTATAATAAAGACCTTGATGTGTATTAAAGACCACAAAGATAAAAACCTTGGTCTTTATTATACCTTTAAGCTCAAGAATTATAAGCTCATTTAGAGAGAAATCATAAAAAGAACTTTTTTTATGGAAAAGTGGACTTTTAACTTTTTTGGTGGGGCTTTTCTTGGATCATTACACCATCTTCGAAAAAAAAAATCGAAAAAAGAAATTTATAAAAATCCATAAAAAAATAATAATTTGCAACCAAAAATATTCCAATTGTTTAGTTTTTTTTTTCTATTTGAAATTATTATTATTTATATATTTTCTTTATTTTACAAAAATAATGACTACATTAACAATTAGATTAATTTTAAAATACATATTTATAGTTTACAGATGCATTTAACAATAGGTTTGCCTTAATGTTTGTTGTGGGTTTACTTTTTATTTTTTGGTTTTAACCAATTGTGTTTATAAACTAATGTTAAAAAAAAATCTTGTTTACAAAAGCAAGAGGAAAATAAACAGCTCAAAATTTTGTTACAAACAAAAGAAATTAGGAAGGAAGAATGAAAACTTATTAAAATTTAACAAACATCTAGAAAAGAAAATTTTGGAAAAATTTGATTTTCTAAAAAAAGAGACTTTTTACAAAAACAAAATAATTATATTATAAAAACTTTTTGATTTTTTTAAACTACACTAAAATTTTGTTGTTCTTTAAGGTTATATTAGAGAGATTATGGATTACATGCCATTGTGTTTTTTTTTTTTGTATATAATTATATAATTTAACTTAAATTACTAATTTTTTGTTTTGTTTTGTATAATTATTAAGTGAGTGAGTTATTATTTTAATAGTTGTGTATAGAAGGGAGGTTTGTTAACTAAACTTACAATCTATTGAAAAATCATAAAATTTATTTGACATTTTCTTATGTTTCTCTTTGTTTTATTAATTTGTATAATTACATGTTATTTTTTGTTCATTTAAAAAAAAAATAATATTAATAAAAATTAATTTCTTTTTAAATATAATTGGCCTTGATTGTGTTGTAGATATTATTTTTTATTATTGTTATTGTTGTTTATGGCTTTCACTTCCAATAGTTGGGGACATTTCTCCACAATATTCAAAAGTATGGTATCGATGTAGTGTTTAAGGCGGGTGTTTTCTTCCTCTTTTTCTTGGAAGGCTTGTTGTAACTATAAAAATAAAAATTAAAAAAATTAATAAATTAGTAAAATCAATAATAATAAAATATAAAAAAAACATTTATTAAAATCAACTACCACCCAAAAAAAAAAAAAAAACATGAAAAAAATATCTCTCCACCTTTCACCTATTTTTTAAATTTTTTAAATTAACATTCCAGGTTAGTTATTTCAACACAAAATAATAGAAAAATGTTTGTTTTATGGTTTTCAATGAAAAAAATGTATTTTTTTAAAATGGTGATCCTTTACCCAAAAAACAGAACACTTAAACAAATAATGAATTTGTTTGTTCATTTCAAAATATTACCTGACTTAAGGATGCTAATGTGGCTGAATCCACAGAATCCTGGAATTGTTTGATTTTTGTTTTGTGTAAATCATAAAAAAGAAGAGAAAGAAAAAAAAAACACAAAATAATGAAAGTTTGATATGATAAAAACAACAACAACAAATCAAGATTTTTTAAAAATGTTTTTTGTTGTAAGTAAGGGGGAGGCATCTTGCAAACAAAGGACAAAACAATGTGATTTGAGTTATTCAATAAAAAAAATGGAATGGAGGTTAGATAAAACAATTGAAAACATGCAAATGAATTAAAAGGGGAAGTGATTTAAAATGATTTAGTTTGAATTCGGATGTTGGTATGAGCAGCAGACTTAAGGGCCTAAGGACTTTTTCCTAAACAATTTTTTGTTATTTGAATTGTCTCCATAACAAAAAACTCCTCGGGGACCTGAGAAAATCTTTTTATAAAAAAAAAACTCCTCAGGGACCTGTGGAATTCTTTTTTTTATCGAAAAACATCTCCTCAGGGGCCTGAGGAATTATTTTTTTATTGAAAAAGTATCCTCTGGGACCTGAGAAATTCTTTTTCTATAAAAAAGTATCCTCAGGGCGTGAGGAATTCTGTTTCTATTGACCAAAAAATTACCCCAGGGGACTGAGGAAATAATTTTGATTACAATATTTTTCAGAGTCTTGATTGGAAAATAAATTTGATTTTCAACTACCCCAAGCTACAATAGGTCTCATGAGACTTTTATTTTATATTTTTAGTGCCTATTTTCAGGAGCTATGTGATTCATGACCCAGAATGACCCACATTAAACTAAGCCAAAAACTGCCAACTCAGGCGTTTCTGAAACAACAGGCCGCGTTTCTATTAAAAGAGGTTTCAAGGAAACAGGGAATTTTTCAAGAATATTTTTAAGAACAATGAAAAGTGGAACATATTTAGATTATTTTCAAGAGTTCCATGGAAAAATAATCCTGCGCATCAATAACCTCCAATGGGACAAATTAGGCATTCATGAAAGGGAACGACCCAAGCTTTATTAGGACAAGGACAGGTACTCTGACGTTTCAGAAACAACAGTAGAGCTTCTTTAATTTATTTCCACTATGGATATGATTATTTTTCCGGGGTTATCAGAATGTTAATAAATAAATATAAGCTACAGAATTAAAAATATATATTTCCCTAGGGCCTAGGGTAGGTTGTGAATTTGGTTTAGATATTATTCTGGGGCTCGATGGGAAAATAATTTATATCATAAACTAATGGGTCACATATTACATTCATGATGGAGGAGAGCCAAGTTCTACTAGGCCAAGAAGCTTCTGAATCAAAAGTAGAGCTTTAGGGTTTGTGAAGACGTTTTTAGTTCCTATCAAATTGTAAGATTCTTAAAAATAAATTTACGATTAGATTGTGGCTCTTTGTAAGAATATTCTTCGGGGGGCTATCATATTTTGGATTAAATAATAATTTTGTTCAAGGTTACTTTTAAAAATATGTTTTTGTGAATCTATCAGTTTGTGGATTTTGTTCAGAAAATTATTTTACGACTATCAGATCGTGAATTAGCTTAAAAGTTTTTTTTTCGGAATTATGGAATCTTTTCAGAATATATTTCTAGGGGGATTTTGTTTCGGATATTATTAAAGGTTATTTTTCAGAAGCTTTGGGATTTTTATATAGTCTACAAGGGCCCATCCGGTTATGGATTTTATTTTGAATGGGAAATATGAACATTAGACACCCATGAACGATGTCCCTTCTGATTTACTTTAGAATTGTTTCCCCGGTTACGACTTTTTTTTTTTGGAATATTTTTCTGATAAGTACAAATTCAATAATTTTCCAGGGACGGTAGGAATTTTTTAGGAATAGGGAACATTTTTCGAGTCTATTTTAGTGTGAATAATTTTACAGGAGTTATTCATGTGCATATCAAGGACATTCTTCTATTCTAATATCTAAGACAGACATACTAATATCAGGAGCTATGCAATTTTTTCCAGAACGTTTTGGACTTTTCAAGAAGATTTTTTAAGGGCATCAGATTTGCTCAGAATAATTTTCTAACTCTATCAGATCTTGAATTTACTTAAGAATAATGCCCCAAAGCTATGTGATTTTTTGAGAATATTTTTGGGCCCATTAGGTTATGGATTTTGTTAAAATATTTTTCCCCGAAGCGTTGGTATCTTTTAAGAATATTTTGCTAGGGTTTGTCTGGATTTTGTTTAGAATATGTGCATATTATTAAAGAAATTACTCGTGGGTATATCAAACATATTATATTCTAAAATTTGAATCAGATTTACTATTTTCAGATGCTAAGCAATGTTTTTTTTTTAAGTAACTTTTTGTAGGGTTCATAATACTGTGAATTCTGTTTATAATATTATTTAATGACTATCTGAAGAGCTTATTCAAAACAAAAAAATACCCATGGCTACATGAAGAGGATATTATATTTTTATGTTTGGAATAGATAGACGAACCATTTTTGGGGACGGAGGGGATTTTTTATGTGAGAAAAATTATCCATCGCCATATCAAGAGGGCGTATTATTTAAATGTTTGGGGCAAAAGAAAAACAGACCCATTTTGGGGAGCTATCGGTTTCTTACAATTTTTGAGTGCCTAACAGAATGTGGAAGTCTTAGAATATGTGTTAGTGACCTTCTAAATATGAATATTTTTGGAAAAAATATTAATGACCAAGTCGAAAGGTTTTCTATTTTCATATATGGTACCAACTAAATTCATTTTATATTCTGTTTTAAAATTTCTTCTAGGTTCTATCAGGCTAAGATTTCGTTTAGAAGGGTCAATTTTTAGAAAAAAATATTTATGGATACATTCAAGAGGATATATTAGATTTTAATATTTGGGCCAGAAAGGCAAACAATTTCCTGAGATAAGGTATTTTTTATAAGATTTAAGGCCTATCAAAATGTGGAGTTTATTTCGAATATTTAATAAGTGACTATCTAAATTTGAGTTTTTTTTTTTGGAACAGATATTCATGAGGAAATCAAAGGATATTCTATTCTAGTATATGGGACCAAATAAATATCCTTTATATTCTATTTGAAAATTATTCAGAATTTTTTCTAGGGTCTATTAAGTTATGTATGCAGTTCAGAATATTTTTCAGTGACTGTCTGGAGTGGTTACTTAAAACATTTTTTTCATGGCTATATAAAGAGGATATTATATTTTAGCATTTGGGACAGAATGACCGACAATTTTTGGTGAGCTATGGGATTTTTACAATTTTCGAGGCTCTATAAATTTGGATTTTATTTAGAATATTTTTTCAATATCCATCTAAATATGAATATTTGTTGAAAATATTATTCATGCCTACATCAGAGGCAAAGTATAGTCTAATATTTGGGTTATTCTATTCTAGCATTTGGGATCAATTGCAATTGCTACTTTACAAGCGTTAGATAAAGCTTAAAGAGGCTTAAAAAGCTTTGTTTTATTGTCATAAATTTTGCAAAATAAAATGTGGCGGGCATTGCTTGAAGAGTGCGGCGAAAACTTTTCACAAATGATAGCGGGATGTGATGTGTTCATATCTTAGGGGCAAGTTATGGATATTTTCGGCCCAGCTTACCTGTGCTTGTGACATTTCTTCGAGTTCTTGAGCCAAACTATTTAATGTGCCATTCAATAGATGGCGACCCTCTTCAACGCCTCGTGTTAAGACAGCAGCCTGTAGTTCTTCGTTTTGTTCTTCCAAACCTAAAAGAGAAAGAAAACAGAATTTAGTAAATTTCTTGGAATTCTAAGAAAGCTACACTTTACCCTTATTCCTTTGTCTCATCTCTTCCAACTCTTGATGCAACTCCTCCAGTCTTATGGCCTCAGGTGATGTTGTGGGCATTGCTGGGCCTGTTTCGGCCCTCAAGCGTTCCAATTCCTTGCTCAATTCCAACATCAATTCCTCGGACGTTTTCTTTTCCTCTTCATATTTACGCTCCTTTTGCAGAGCCTCATCCAAGTCTTGTTGTAGCCCAGCAATACGATCTCGGGCCAATTCCAATTTCTCTTCGGTACGATGTAAATCACTGGCTTGTTTGTCGCAGAGAACACGCAAACGTTGATTCTCTTCACGCAAAGCATTCGCTTCGATTTCAATTGTTTTGATTTTTATTTGACAATTTTCATTTTGCAAAGAGGCTTCACGTTCGGCACGGGCCAATAGTTCTCGATTGCGTTTTTGTTCCTCCGCCAGGCGTTCCTCGGCACGCAGTTCGGTCTGTGTAGTAAAGAGAAGGGGGGAAATGAATAAGGATTTTCTTTGTTATGCCGAGATGGGACTTACCTCTCTAAGCTGCTCTTCGAGCATATCATAACGGGCCTGCAGCACAGCATATTCGGTTCTTGTGCGTGTGGTACGATCTTCTGCTATGACTTGAGTATCGGCCAGATCAGTGACTTGCTGTTGCAAGATTTGCAGCTGTAAAGATTCAATTCAATTCAATTCAAATTTTTATTGAGTCTTTTTTTTTTTTTTTAACACGAAAATTTACAATTTTGAAGTGAAGAAAGAAATACTTAAAACTATAATGTTTTGTTTTAATGACTAAAGCGTATTTTCAGCGTCTGGCTTTACAAAAATTGATAATTAGTGTTTACTAAACTAAGAGTGTATATCGTGCTTGCTCCCGGCACTACAATGTTTGAGAGCATGTCTCATTTTATTTACCTTAAAACTAACTTAACCTAAACCTAACCTACACTTAAACAACAGAGATGATCAAACGAAAGTTTGTTCATCTAAGTTGTTAACTAGCCCCTGTGAATTCCACGAGAGGTGCTAATGTAAAATTCTGGACACTGAATATCTTCCAGAGACATGTATAAGTCAATACCTAACGGTGAGACGTAATTAGTATTTTGCCACGTGAAATTAGATTCCTTATTAACACATTCCTGAATAAGCAAGTTTGAATGCATAAAAGCCCTGTTAGCGTAGTTTTTAATTAAACGCATAGCATATACTGAGATTGGGGTAACTTTCGATGCTTTGACTAAATTTAGCAGTGATATAATTTCTAATTTACGTGAAAGGAAATGTACTGTCGCAGTTTCTTTGGATGTTGAAAAAGCATTTGATAGAACATATCATAATGGTATATTATTTAAAATGACAGAATTAGGATTTGCAGCTAATGTGGTGAAGTTATTTCAAAGTTTTTTTACCAATAGAAAATTTTATATACAATTGGGAAATTTGAAATCATGTGTGGAGAATGTGTCATGCGGTGTTCCTCAGGGATCAATTTTATCTCCCCATCTATTCAATATTTACATGTATGACTTCCCTCATACTATGCAAAATTCTTTGGGTGTATTGTACGCAGACGACTGTCTTTTGTATGCGCACGCTGAATCTCCTGCTGCGGCGTTGTCTATGGTATCTTGTCATTTAAACACAGTTAATGCTTTCTATACTGATTGGGGTATAAAAATCAATACTTCTAAGAGCGAGGCTATGTGTTTGAGGAACGCTTCAGGGAAATGTAAGAGATGGGTTGTACCAGAAAGCAAGTCCTTGAAGTTGTCTCTGAATGGAGTAGAAATACCATTTAGAGATAGATTTAAATATTTAGGTGTTTGGTACAATAAATTATTCAAATTTAATGCAAATGCGCGAGGCTACTTAGGTAAGGCATATGGTATTAAGGGGTCATTTGCAAGACTTCTTAATAGCAAGTCATTACCGACGAAAACCAAGATAATGCTCTACAAAACAAGCATTAGGCCTGTACTGGTGTACGCACTACCTATATGGTTCCCAATCTCTCCAACGGTAATGAAAGAGTTTGAGATATTCGAAAGAAAAATACTTCGTCTCTGTGTTGGAAAAAATTTTAAGTACCATAATAAGCGTTTCTCAAATCGGTATATATACGAAGCATCGAAAGTTACCCCAATCTCAGTATATGCTATGCGTTTAATTAAAAACTACGCTAACAGGGCTTTTATGCATTCAAACTTGCTTATTCAGGAATGTGTTAATAAGGAATCTAATTTCACGTGGCAAAATACTAATTACGTCTCACCGTTAGGTATTGACTTATACATGTCTCTGGAAGATATTCAGTGTCCAGAATTTTACATTAGCACCTCTCGTGGAATTCACAGGGGCTAGTTAACAACTTAGATGAACAAACTTTCGTTTGATCATCTCTGTTGTTTAAGTGTAGGTTAGGTTTAGGTTAAGTTAGTTTTAAGGTAAATAAAATGAGACATGCTCTCAAACATTGTAGTGCCGGGAGCAAGCACGATATACACTCTTAGTTTAGTAAACACTAATTATCAATTTTTGTAAAGCCAGACGCTGAAAATACGCTTTAGTCATTAAAACAAAACATTATAGTTTTAAGTATTTCTTTCTTCACTTCAAAATTGTAAATTTTCGTGTTAAAAAAAAAAAAAAAGACTCAATAAAAATTTGAATTGAATTCTTCAGAAACTGAGGAGACTTAAAAAAACGGACAAAAAAAAGGGAACTGATGAGGATAGGTATACCCCCTGGTAAACATTACCATCGTTCTCCACTTATAAAACCAACGTTGTTTTTATAAAAACAACAATGGTGGGATTAAGCCTGACCATTTTGCAACGCCAAAACGGAAAAATAAAAAAACATTTCTTCCGGATCTCAGGCAAGTTTTTCGTAGAGAAAAACATTTTCTTAATCACTATGGAGACACTATGGAGTCTCCTAGGCACTGAAATAGAAAACAATTTCTCAGGAACTGAGCAGACTTTCAGAGAATGGATTTCCAAGAATATTATAACCTCCACCACAGTATGGAGGGTATATTAAGATTGTTGTTCCGTTTGTAACACCTCGAAATATTCATATTCTGGATCAGCATAAAATTCTATGTCGATTTAGCGATGTCCGTCCGTCTATCCGTCTGTGAAAATCACTCTGACTTTCGAATGAAATGAAGTACGTTGATAAAATGTTACTCAAATGTATATTATGTCTGCAGGCCCTTTGGTATTAAAAATGGGCCACGTAGCTCCATGTTTTGGTATAGCACCCATATAATGGCAACTCCCTTTTCCCGGTATTTTGGTGATTTAAGCGACATTACTCACCGGAAATGTTTCAAATTTCGTATTTGTAGTTCGTAATGGATGCTACATCCTATGACAAAAAATTGTCTTTGCAGGTCCACGTTTTCGTATAGCCCCCATATAACGGAACCTCCCTATATTAAGTATTTTGATGATTTTAGCGACATTATTTAAAGGAATCGTTTCAAATTTCGTATTTGAAGTTCGTATTGGATACTACAGCCTATGACGGAAAATTGTCTATACAGGTTCACTTCATCGTATAGCCCCTAAATAACGGTACCTCACGATATTCAGTATTTGGAAGATTTTAACGACATTATTCACCAGAATTGTTTCAAATTTGGTATTTGAAGTTCGTAATGGATATTACGGCCTATGAGAGAAAATTGTGTGTGCAGGTCCACGTTTAGGTAGAGCCCCCATTTAATGGTACCTTCCTACATTCGGTATTTTTATGATTTTAACGACATTATTTACCGGAATTGTTTCAAATTTGGTATTTGAAGTTCGTAATGGATACCACAGCCTAAGACAGAAAATTGTCTATGTAGGTTCACATCTTCGTATAGCCCCCGTGTAACGATACCTCCCGATATCCGGTATTTTGATGATTTTAGCGACATTATTCGGCGGAATTACTGCAAATTTTGTATTTGCAGTTCGTAATGGATACTACAGCCTATGACGAAAAATTGTCTGTGCAGGTCCACGGGTTGGTATAGATCCAATATAGTGGTACCTCCCAATATTCGGTATTTTGATGATTTAAGCGACATTATTCACCGAAAATTTTTCAAATTAGGTATTTGAAGTTCGTAATGGATACTACAACCTATGACAAAAAATTGTCTGTGCAGGTCCACGTCTTAGTATAGCCCCCATATAACGCTACCTCCCGATATTCGATATTTTGATGATTTTAGCGACATTATTCACCGGAAGTATTTCAAATTTGGTATTTGATGTTCGTAATGAATACTACAGCCTAAGACGAAAAATTGTCTGTGCAGATCCACGTCTTCGTATAGACCCCATATAAAGGTACTTCCCGATATTTCGTATTTTGATGATTTTTGCAACATTAATCACCGGAATTGTCTCAAATTTGGTACTTGAAGTTCGAAATTGATACTACAGCCTATTACAAAAAATTGTCTGTGCTGGTCCACGTTTTCGTAGAGCCCCCATAAAACAGTACCTCCCGATACTCGGTATTTTGGTGATTTTAGCTACATTATTCACCGGAATTGTTTCCAATTTGGTATTTGAAATTCGGAATGGATACTACAGCCTATGACAGAAAATTGTCTGTACAGGTCTATGTTTTGGTATAGCCCCAATTTAATGGTACCTCCCGATATTCGGTATTTTGAAGATTTTATCGACATTGTTCATCGATTTTTTTTAAGTTTCGCATTTGAATATTGTAATGGCTTATAATAAAAGTTGCCTATGTAGGTCCTCGTCGTCGTGTAGACTCTAATATAAGGGCTACATTTGGTATTTTTAAGATTTTAACAGAATTTTTAAAGGATTTTATTTATTTATTTATTTTTTTTTTTTTTTGAAAATTGCCAAATTTGTTCCAAATGGTGAAAGGTAGTCAAAGTTCGGCCAGGCCGAACTTTTTTTTAAGGTTCTCTCAGGTGTTTTTTTATCTCTCTTTTTCCCACACTCTGTATTGAAATCAAAAAGAGATCCCCCAAATGAAGCCCCATAAAAGTCAAATAATGAGCTGTTCGTTCATACTTCATGTTCAACATGAAATCATTCATACTTTGTGGCTGCTTGGCTGACTGACTAACTGAGTGACTCTTCAAGAACAACACAAAGAATTCTAGTGTTTGTATGTGGGTGCATTTGAATGCAGCCATTGTAGGTGGGATATGGAAAAAGTTGTGGAGTGCGAGAGGGGGAATGGGTCTTGACAAATACATTATGGTATGGCTCATTGAGTAGCAGAACAATTTATCTTGAAACGATGAATGAATGGCGCAAGCAATTGCAACTCGAAAAAACAAATATTAAAGAAGAAAGAAAAACAAAAGGCTTCAACCAACTATAAAATAGTGACAGAAAAATAAAACAACAAAAACAACAGTGTGTGAAATTTTTCATATGGAAAACGAGAGGAAGAGATAAAAAATATGACCAGAAAAAAACTGATTGCAACATCGTTGAAATATTAATGTTGTGGTTGAATGGAGAACGGGGGTAAAAGTGAAAAAACAAAATTGTGACAAGAAAAGTTTTACAAAAAAACTTGTCATTTAATGGCGAACACATGTGTTGGAAAGAAGATAAGTGAAAATGAAAAAAAAAAAAATAAGCAAACAATTCAAGGAAGTGGAAATTTAA